ACACTTTATCTGTGACCCGCCGGCGGGGTGAGATATAACTGCCCAGATAGCGAAACTCGTCTACTTCCCCAATCACCATTCTGTTGGGATCTGTTCGCTCTCCCACTCCAAAACCAAGACTGAACCTCCATCCTTAAAAACTGATGGGGACAGTCCGTCAGGGTCGGAAGCCTTATACCTTTTAAGATAATTTACTTCCCGGGCAGCCTCCATTTCAGATGGAGGACTGATGCCAACTGGCAGTATTTGCACGGTTGAAGCAGGTATTGGGAAGTATTTTGTCGACGGGGCCAGCTGAACTGTCTTAAAATGTTCTGCGCAACGTTCCAGACGGCGTTGTTGAAAATGAATCAGTGTGTCGTCACACTCCTTAAATACCTCACTTAGGCCTGCTTTCCTTGGACCCATACTCCTAATAAAACGAAAAAGTTTGCGACTATTACCGATAGCCTTCTCCACCTCTGTACACTTTTCTACTTACCAATTCTGGTGTCATTCCTCAGACTCTTGATGAGCTAGCGTTTAAAGAATTTGCGCGCTTTGTCGTATTTTGAATCCGAAGGAATGGCTTTGCGAACATCCAGAAAGGCAACCGAGATCGGGGAGAAACATCGTTTTTTTATTTGATTGTGCGCCAGAATTCGTCGTTTTAATTGAAATTTCGATCACTTCCTTGATTGCCGTCCAGTGTTCACTGAGTCCCGCGGCTAATGATTGAGCTGAGACGCGATCTGATAATTCCGCTTCGAAGACCGATTTGCAACCATTGCTGACACTATATTGTGGGCATCCGTTTTCGACGGTTTTTCTGTATGCTGTTAAATACAAGTGTTCCTGGAATGTTGTTGCTCAAATGAATAATGGGACAAATTCAAACTTTCGGTAAATCAACTTTTAATCTTCACAATAATTCATTATCTCTTAAATGACCTTATATCTATGTCAGTCACAAGGTACATTGTNTAATTTCATCAGTCGTCATTATAAATTTACGGCGACCACGTTTCGATTCCATTGGAGGTAAAATGTGAAAACCACCAACTTATCTCACCAAATGTCAACGGGGTGAGTTCCGTCACCACTGCCTACCTTCTCCATTTATCTTTGTATCACATTGCAGTCATTTGATTGGCTGCTTCCCTCTTCCTGAAGAATCGTTTTTACTAACATGTATCCGAAGAAGAAAAAGTGGTTGGACATGTGCTTTCATCCTTTCAGTCCTAAGCAGTACTTTATTTTTGCAAGGTTAGATGCTCATACAACAGTTAGTTTAGTAGTTAACATGCTTACCTTTTACCTGGTTTGCTCCTCAGTTTGGTAGAGGGATTCACTCACTGCTGGTTAGGTCCATCTCGGTGGAAACAGCTTTACAGTGCTTCCCCGAGTTTCAATGCACTATGAAATTCATCATGTAATATCCGACTGCGTAGTGATCGTTGTGATTGATTAAATAACGCTACGACTTAATAGACTAGTTTTGCTTTGATTCACTTTGCTGGATTCCCGGCAGAAAGAGAAAGTAGATTTCACCCTTATCTGAATGTGCGTCAACACATATCATAATCCAGTGATCCTCGTAACAACTAAATCGATCCGTCGTATCTGGCATAACCAGCATGCGGTATCACCGAATCCGGACTATGACCCTTAACCAAGGTGTGTTTGCATCAGTTCAAACTGCTGTTCTCGGGAGATTTTATATCAGCGTTTTCCATCTCTCCAGTAAAGCCAGCTCTCCATAGCTTATCATCTACTTGGTCATATCAATTGACCACTATATTTCACACGTTTGAGTCCAGATTATGTGCCAGATAAATCACGGTGTACTTATCTTTACAACAAAGATAAGGGTCTATGATTTTCACGTGGGCAAAATACCGCCATCTTGTCCAGGTCAAAGCAAGTTAATTTCCTAGGGTAATTTACAACCGGAACAATCTGCTAGCCAAAACCCGACCATGAAGGCATTGGACGATGTGTGAAAATCGCAATCTATTGAGGGTTAGTATCCAGTTCGTTGGTCATGTGCCGATTGGACGGCATCAAACTTCCATGGTGCTCAGTACACCTCGATCCTCACTCCAGCCGGTGACCACTACCAAATCAGGGAGAGATGTGTATGTGCATGGTTCGTACGCCTCTTCTTGATTGGTTTTGAATCTTGTATTTCGGTCAACTCCCCTAGGTGAACTGCCAGTGGTTCACCTACCCAATTATGGTGCTAGCTTTTCGTTCTTCCATCACCAACACAGTAAGGCAGTGAGTTGGGCTTCCTCATCATGGGCTGTTTGAGACTCTTGGTCATGCGGTAGCATTTTGTGGGGCGCAGGAGAAGGGTGATCAACCACTAAGTTAAACATCCATCAACAACCATTTTGAAGCTTTCGGAGGTGACTCGACTATAGCCCCGGATGAGGATTTTTCACCGAATCATTTTTGGTGAAAATGCCTTCTCCATGGGAAGAAAATGGGCATCATTTGACTGACAGAGGCTCCAAGGAACGTGCTTCATCAGAACATTTTTGCCTTGGAGGAGGAGGGAGGGGAAAGGAAAAGACCTCGACCACTATCGTAGAATTTCCGCCACCAAACGAGGGTGAACCTAGAGTCATTTGAGCTTACTAATTCAAAATAATCGATATACGTGGTCTGCGATTTGGAGCGACCCATAACCAACCCTGTTATTAAGCTCGACGATGCAAAAAGGGACTACCGGTCGTGGAATTCAAACCCAGGATATTTCGAACGTATGCGGCAAGGGTCTTTAGCTTCATCCCCAAATATCATCTGCTCCTACTTTCTACTCATTCTTTAGGAACTGATTGCATTCAATCGGAATAGAGAACAGCGTGCAGCTGCGCAGGCCAAACGTGCTCTCAAATCCGGTCTGGAAGATAAACCTGATCCGGAACCGTCGTTGATTATAACGGACAATAAGAAAGTTGGGCTGGATGTGGGTGAAATGGAGAATCTAGTTCGACACTATTTAGGTGGCTCTACCAAGACTGGATCCGAGCTGAATGGACAGGGTAACGGCGCTGTTAGCGGATTGGATGTGTTCACTGCACCCGAATTGGGCCGGGGCTTGCGTCGTTTTGTCGATCACGATGCACGAGAAGCGATTAAAGAGACTGTGGAATCAGTCCTAGGTCGTACCGTGAAGCACTTACGAGTTCGTCAAACCCCAGAGGATCGAATTGTGCCAGATATTCACTCGTTCAGTCACTCCCGTCAGACGGAGGGAGATTCGGAAGAGGAGGAAGATCTTGAATCGGAGCCAGATCAGGCAGATGCGAAAAGCCACAAACCGGGGGCTATACTTGCCTCCAGAGCAAATGCTCTAGGTATGTTCTATATGTTTTCATTTCCTCTTAGATGATTGAATGGTGTAATTTAAGGCACGACCATTTTTTTGAATGAAAAGCTCGTTGTATTCTGTGAAAATTCACACAAACTATTGTTAATTTCCTCGTGTCACTTTTATCCATATTTACTTCGAAACTAATGGCTATTCGTTCATTGACACAATCCCTTAATCTCTATATTTTGCAATTATTAGGACTCACTGAAAGAATGCGTATCTTTGGATAGATATTCTGAGTGTTCAGAGACTTTGACGGCTTCCGATTTATAAATTATTAAATAGATGCATATCTGGAATTGAGTGGTGTTTTATCTCCGTTAATTATCTGAAGAGCATCACACTGGTCTCTAGTCTCCACTGGAAACTCTTCTCTCACTCTTTGGCTCCATCTAGTACGCAGAACGCTGTACTAAATATATTCCAATGGTAGGCGGATGAAGTTGAGTGAAAATACATTCAATCTACGAAGTCCGTGGATAGTAACTTCTCGCGTGGGTCAAGATTTTAATGAATTAGCTTTTCTGCCTTCCGGTTCAATACCATGCCTAACCTAGCGGGACCTTACGTGGTTCGCTACTCCAAGTCCTGGGGCTTAGGGTACCGGGTCTAATCAGTTATTATTAGGTCTTCGTGACTTGGGGGTTCACCCCGTCTAATAAAACATAAATCAATAGGGGTTTCTCCAATACGAAAACTCTCTTCAATGTTTTAGTTTTATACAGTACTTCGCCCACTGTATGTAACTTGTCCACTAGACGTTCGGAAGTGCTAAACGGTATCTTCTCCATGGATTGGGTCTGTTTGAGGTAAGGGATTACTCATCCATTCAAACACTACATGACTTTCGTATATATAGAAAAATCGTGGGTCGATCATGATGTCTGGGTGTCGCATTGCAATGGATTCCATCATTCTGATGCAAAGCATGTAAGCAAATCAGTTGAACACCGGTCTGAAGGTGTTCATCCTCAGAAAACAATGTGTCTTCATGTTATTTTTTTATATCCATTACTGTCTACTATGCTGCAATACGTTGTATTTCTGCAATAAGTAGACCCTCAGTCTGTGACTAGAGTTACGGATGTATTATGAATCGAAACTGTGGTTTAAGAAGAACATTGGTTAAGCTGTTCTCATTTATTACCGCCGTAATTTAATCACTCATCATTTCTCTGAACTTATGAATTAGCACCATCTCTACCCTCATCATAATCACCGAAGCAGCCTCGAAATACGCTATATACGGCCATAGACACAAGTGGTTGAAGACAGGTTACAGAAACCATACTCTTATTGTTACAAATTATTTTAATGGTTGTCTGGGTTCATGCGGTCAAACCGCTTACTTTATTTTACTTTACTGCTGCTGACTCCTTGTAAAGAATTAGCCGGCTCCGAACTTGACCATGTTCAAGATCAAGGAGCTCCTTGGGAGTTTGGTACGAGAGACGTCTACAGCGTCACGCGGCGTTTTTTTATTTTGAGGGCGCACCTCTAGCGTTTGCACAACCAAGTGCGAACTGCAAGGCAGCAGGAAGTAATCCCTCGCCTCGGAAGTGGGGGGGGGTCAATGACTTTAGTTTTAAAAGGCCAGTCACATCGACCTTTGTCACGACACCGTCATTGGGCTTATGCGGCCTTTAAACAGGAGCCAGGTGACCAGCCTGAAACCCAACACGCCGTGGTAGTGTCGCCGCTGTTTGTTCGCGACGGCTTATTTGTTTCGGTATTCCACAACTTATTCACAGCTAACCTTCTTCAGTAAAGGTATCCCCCTATCCACAACCCGGGGACGCCCGTGGTAGCATTCGGCTCTGCTTAATCCGAGGGTATCCTGGTCAAGCCACTCAACAAATTACGCAACTGCAACGGTTA